CCGAGAATGTATGTGTTGGGAAGATACCTGAACCTCTCCATGTAGCTAGAGAGTGGTGACAAAGGAATAAAATGGGATTTATCGTTTCATCATCAATACAGCACCGTTGACACGTTGGGTCCACAATTATGCCTCTAGTACTTAATCTCGAGTAAGTGGGAAGAGCACCGGAAACCACTTTCCCAAGGAAGTGTTTGATCTTTGGAAGGATATCTAACTTCCATATTTTATGCTTGAGCTCCAATGATCCTTCTGGTCTTTGAACTTCTCCATCATCATGATAGTAATGCATGATAGCCCAATACCATGATTTAACAGTATACTGCATATCCTTAGTATAAGGCCAAACAAACACATCACTTGCAGAATACCTCGATAGATTGATTTTTTTAGCTTCGACCACATCTTGAGGATGCAAAGTCACCTCCAATTTTTGGTTATTCCAAGAGCAAGTGTCCATATCTTTCAGCTCTGAAACCATAATGTTTTGACCTAGAAAACCCTGATGCACCCGTCTAGGAGGAATGGTCGGTAACCATTGGTCATGCCATACGTTGGTTTCTTTTCCATCACCTATCATTTTCCGTAACCCTTGACGAAGTAGGTCCTTGCCTACTTGAATAGACTTATAGCCGTAAGAGGCTTGTTTTGGATTCAACGACTGTAAAAATGTTGTTGAATGATGATATCTCCCTCTATAGATTCTACTGAGTAAAGAACATGGGTTTTGCCAAATGCGGTTTGCTTGCTTAGCAAGAAATGCTTTATTGAAACTATATAGATCCCGAAAACCCATACCTCCGTCCTTTTTTGGTAGATATAAACGTTTCCAAGATATCCATGGAATTTTTCTTCTTTCAACACCTTTACCCAACCAAAATTCTGATAGGATAGAATTTATCTCCTTACATGTAGTCTTTGGGAGAAGGAAGCAACTCATTGGATAAACCGGCTTCGCATGTAGTATTAATTTGATCAGATTTTCCTGTCCAGCTGGGGATAGTTGTTGGTTATGCCATTGAGACGTTAGAGCCTTTATATGACCTACCATTCCTTCAAACTCAAGCACTCTACTTTTACCAAATTGCTCGACCAAACCTAAATATTTACCTCCTCCTCCAAGCACATGTATCCCCAAAAGATTCTGAACCCGTACTCTCATTTGCTGATCAACCCGTTTGCCAAATATGATAGAGGATTTTTCAAGATTCACTTTCTGACCAGATGTCTTTTCATATAAATCCAGTAATGTAGCCATACACAATGCATTTTCCTCATTAGCTCGACAAAAGAATAGAGAATCATCAGAAAATAATAAATGTGAAACCCGTGGACAATGGCGTGATAACTTCATTCCTTGGAACTGGTCTAGTTGTTGTACTTTATCAATCATTTGACTTAAGACTTCAGCACAAAGGAGAAAGAGATATGGAGATAATGTATCACCGTAGCGAATTCCTCTAGTAGGTTTAACCTCACCAAACGGGGACTCATTGATCAGAACATAGTAAGAGACTAAGGTAATACATTTCATGATCCATGCGATACAAATTTCATGGAAACAAAGTTTTGTCAGAATACTCTCCACTCAACACAGTCATAAGTTTTACTAATGTCCGTCTTGATAGCCATATATTGTTCTGAACAATCCTTTTTTGATTTTAATGTCGTTATCAACTCATGAGCCATTAGTATGTTATCAGTGATTTGACGTCCAAGTACAAATGCAGCTTGAGATTCAGAGATGACAGTGCTCAAACAAGACTGTAATCGAATGCCAAGCACCTTAGAGATCAGTTTGTAAGCCACATTACACAAGCTTATAGGACGGTAATCTCCCATTGTAGATGATTCTAGAATTTAGCTAGCAGGAAAATGTTTGTATGGTTCATGCCTTTCTCCATGGTACAGGTTTCAAAAAATCATCTAACCATCTGGCAAACATTAGGGCCTATACAGTCCCAAAATTGTTTGTAGAATGCGGCTGTAAACCCATCTGGGCCAAGCGCTTTGTCTGATCCTATGAGCTCTATAGCTTCTTTGATCTCTCTATTTGTGACAGGAGCTATTAGCATAGCATTCATCTCCACTGTTATCTTTGGTTGTATATTTGGTAAGCACTCGTGTAGGGGTATAGTAGTTTATGAAGAGAACATACCCTGAAAATACTCCACAGCCACTTGAGCAATTGTTTCTTCTTTCGTATGAGTTACTCCATGCGTATCCCTTACCTTTGTGATTTTATTTTTCTTCTTCTTCATCTTTGTAACCCTATGATAGAATGGAGAGTTGCAATCACCAAGATTTAACCATTGGTTTCTACTCTTCAGTTTCCAGTATCCTCCTCCTCTCTATAAGCCTTGTTCAGGTTACCACGAAGTTCCTGAATATATTCAATTGGAACTGTACTATCACGAAGTGAATTATCCAACAGAGCTGTTATTTCAGATATTTGAACAGAAAATTTGTATGATGACTTCTCTTCCAACTTATAATCTCAGTACCGCAATGGTCAAGTTTCTGACTCCATCTTCCAATAAATTATGTTTGATCCCAAGCACACGTTACTGTCTCCACGAAGTGTTGATTATCAACCAATCTCTTATCATAACAAAATACTATTTTTCTTCTTTGATGTTGATAATCAATACTAATGATCATGGGTCTGTGATCAGACTCTACAATCTCTAAGTAATCCGTATATGAATGAGGAAACTGGTCCAACCACGCATGATTAATCATTACCCTGTCCAAACAACATTCTATGACATCATTTCTTCTACGTCCAACCCAACTAAACTGTTTTCCTTGATGGCGGAGGTCCTTCATATCACAAACTTGAAGCATGGTATTAAAGTTTTGAAAGCTTGATGGATGTTTTACTCGCCCACCTTTCTTTTCCTCTGGTTTTCTCATCTCATTACAATCACAACACAATATCCATGGTCCCATTCTAGTAGTTGCTATTCTCTGTTCCCATAAAACATGTTTGTATTTAGGAATTGGATGACCATATACACACGAAAAAGTAGAACTTAAAGGATTGATATTCGACATGAAGATATACAAGTCTTTCATCACTGGAAATGCAAATTACAGAAACAAAGGACTTACAAAGTACAGCCAAACCCCCTATAGCCTATTGGAGGGACTAAAATCATATGATCATAACCAAAAGACACTCCTATATCTTTGACATAATCATTATCTTGCTTAGTCTCGATCAAGAACAACAAGTTTGGATGATACAACTGTTGTATCTCCTTCAGACGTCGAACTGTCAGGCGTTGTCCTATGCCTCGACAGTTCCACGCCTCTACTCTCATGGGACTTGTGGTTGTATTGGGCTCACCGCGTCTCTGTCAATTGGGTTGTTATCCGTCATCTGAGTATCAACATTCTCGTAGTCTACCTGTATCTTGTGAAGAGCTTCAAACTCTGGGAGCAAAATCTCAGCATCAATCACAAACTTGTCATCCATGACAACTTCAGAACAAGAGTTCTTCAAATCCACTATTTGCACCATATTTTCTTCTTGTGAAACAGTCATCTCAGCCTCAATTGTCTTTGAATTACTTCCAGATGATCTAAAGTATTCAAAGACCGAGCCAGTACCATGACGCTCCTCCATTTCCAGTATAATATGGTCACTTTCATCATCTTCTGCAATATCCATGAAATACATGTGGCCATCATTAACAACCGGAGAAGAGATCTGGTCCAACAATTCCTCAACAAAAGAGTACTTCCTTGCTGTACAAACCATACCCATACGTCTCTCAAACTCAGCATGAACCTCATTAAATGGTGCTTTACTCCAAAAATCCTTTGGAAGATCATCTCCCATGTCCACAATATCAATCCCTTTGTGTTGAAACTCCCTGGTCTCTTGTCTCTTCCTCTTAGTACCACCTTGGTTCTCTGGCTTCCCAGAACTACCGTCAGTGTCTTCAACCATAGGGCTCTTATCCTCTTAGTGCCATTTTTTTAATTTCGTAGATGTTACACCTCATTATAGACCGCATTAATTATATTTAATGGAAATACGATGATGTTCTTGTTTAATTAAACATGTGTTTAAATTGTGAAAAGAAAATTCCTTAAAATATATGAAATAATTTTCATTTGCTAATAAAATACACAAACTATTTTGGATCTATGTTTAATACATAAATTTATATTAGTTTTCTATTAAATACACAAATTTATGAAATCTGCAGTTTAAACATCAATTTAGACGACGTTAACTATGTTTAACATAATTTAGACAACTCCACTTCGAAGCGATATAAAATGGAAATTAAAGCAAAAAAAGAATAAAGAAAAGAAGCATAATTTAGAGAATAAACTAGGTTAGAACAGATTATGGTGCCGGATTCAGATTGAAACTAACTTGAATTAAAAAATTTAGAAGATGAACGTGTTTTTCACAGTTTAACCAGATGTTTAATTAAAATTAACATCCTTTTTATTAAACATAGTTAATGTTTTCTAGATCGATGTATAAAATTTATAAATTTTAAAAGTTTGAATATTTAATAGAAAAAAATAATTTGTGTATTAAACGGAAATTCAAAATAATTTGTGTATTTTCTTAGAAAATGAAACTTAATTCATATATTTTCAAGAATTTTCTTTTCATAATTTAAACACACGTTTAGTTAAAACATTGATGGCATCGTCACTTCTGTTACATATAGCTAATGCCGTTTAAAATGATATGTAAAATCTACAAATTTTAAAAGTTTATGTATTTAAAAATAAAAAATAAGTTCATATATTAAAGGAGAAACCAAAATAGTTCGTCTATTTTATTACTGAATAAAAATTAGTTTATGTATTTTTAAATAATTTTATTTTATGTGAAGAGAGAGAGAAAAAATGAATATCTTTGTAATTAAAAAATAATATACTTTGGTAACTTGGACAGAGAGTGTGACTTCCAGAGAGAAATAAACATAGTCAGAAGAGTGGTCTTCTTCTTCTTCAACCTCTGAAAGCGCGTTACGACGAAACCGTACATCAACTGATATAATGTCATTATCTCCGCTGGACGACACTGTCCCCGGCGTCCTNAAGAAGAGGAGATGCTGAAGCTGCCATTAATTTAGACTCGTTAGGTATTCCGTATTCTTTAGGGTTTCTTTATTTTGTTATTTGGTTTTATATTTTTGATCTATTTTTAAGTCATCAAAATTTGATTACTTGAGAACGATTTGTGTAGATAATAGTAACAGTCTTCAGAAATGGAATCAAGGTAGCACCAACTCAGAGAACATGTTCACGTACGAAGATTTGGCTAAGGCAACTGATAACTTCTCTAGTACCAACCTCATCGGACAAGGCGGGTTTGGTTATGTTCATAAAGGAGTTCTTCTAGATGGAACAGAGGTTGCGATTAAGCAGCTTAAAGCTGGGAGCAGACAAGGCGAACGGGAGTTTCAGGCGGAGTTACAGACCATTACTAGAGTCCATCACAGGCATCTTGTTTCCCTCCTTGGTTACTGCATAACCGGATCTCAGAGACTGCTTGTTTACGAGTTTGTGCCTAACAATACTCTCGAGTTCCATTTGCATGGTGAGTTAAAATAATAATTGGTTTGTGTGGATTTTCGGACTTTTTTTTTATTTTTTATTTATGGTAGATATTTGCAGAGAAAGGGAGACCGGTAATGGAGTGGCAAAAGAGAATGAAGATTGCTTTGGGTGCAGCTAAAGGATTGTCATACTTACATGAAGATTGTAAGTAATGTTCCTCGTCTTTGGGTCCAAGTCTTTGTCTGTTGGTGTCAACGAGTTCTTGTTTTGTTTGGTTCAGGTAAACCTAAAACAATACACCGTGATGTTAAGGCTGCAAATATTCTTATTGACAATAGCTATGAGGCAAAGGTATACTAAAACTTTACAAATCTACGAAAATACTGTTTTGAGCTGCAGGACCTAATAATGTTGAACATTATTTATCAGTTAGCAGACTTTGGACTGGCCAGGTGTTCTTTGGACACTGATACTCATGTTTCCACCCGGATCATGGGAACATTCGGGTATGTAACGCTCTTATTATATGCAAAAACCATTCCGACCATAAAGATATCTATTGACTTGTGATTTTGTCTGGTTGCAGCTACTTATCTCCTGAGTATGCTTCTTCTGGTAAACTTACTGATAAATCAGATGTATTCTCATTCGGTGTGGTGCTACTAGAACTGATAACCGGACGCAGACCTGTTGATAAATCACAGCCTTTTGCTGATGATGATGATAGCATCGTTGATTGGGTTGGTTTCTCTCTTGTTTTCCCCTTAAGCACCAACTTTCGAATAAGATTTCTTATCACTTCACCGAATGGTCTAGGCAAAACCTATGATGATACAAGCTCTAAACGATGGTAACTTTGACGGTCTTGTTGACCCGCGGTTAGGGGATAACTTTGATATCACCGAGATGACGAGAATGGTTGCTTGCGCTGCTGCTAGTGTCCGTTATTCAGCAAAACGCCGCCCAAAAATGAGTCAGGTACTATCATATATGGAGGTTTTCTTTGCGACACTTAACCCAATTATTAAGATAAAAAGTCAATACTTTTGTGATTTGAAAATTGCAGATAGTTCGAGCATTTGAAGGCAATATATCTCTAGATGACCTAACCGAAGAAGCCACTCCAGGTCACAACACTATTTGCAGCTTAGACGGGAGCTCAGACTATAGCTCGATAAAATATAACGAAGACATGAAGAAATTCGAGGAAATGGCACTCGACAGCCAGACATTTGAAATCAGTGAATGCAGCGGTGTGACCACTAGCGACAATGGTCAGAACCCATCAGGCTCCTCTAGCATTAGTGATGGCCAACGTACAATGCAAGAGATTGAACCAGAGGAGAGAACCGATGAGACAGTAACTAGAAAACAGAGGAGTCTTGGTAATACGATGAGTACAGCAACTTGGGTGTAGGAAAGGTTTGACACAATTTCACTTTGTATGAAGGTGTGGCTGGCTCTAATGAAACACCCAGTCACATGAGCCTGATCTTGCACGTGAGTATTTGTTAGGGGGCATAATTAGTCAAGAGTTTGTGTTTCTGTTTTGACTTTGGAGTGAAGATATTAAAGAGAGATACAAAGCTAATACAGTAGGATTTAAGATTTTTCCTGTTTAGCGTTGATTGATTTTTAATGATGGAAGTATATTTAGTCTTATCTATACTATTACTAGATGTTTTACCCGCACTTGCGACTTAATAATTTTTATTAATATCTATAAATAAATATAGAATAAGTTTAAGTAAATTATAATAAACTATTGTTCATACACTCAAAATATTTAACAATAAACTAAACAAATTCTCTATATATAAAGTTAAAATATTTATTAATAAATTAATATCATGTTTAGACATAACAAAAAGTATAATAAAATTATCTTTAATAATGTTTTGGATAACACAATATAAATTATCTATACATAAATTCTTTGCGAATTGATTTTTCATAATTAACTATATATTAACAAATATAATTATTTTTCAAGGTTAATTAAAACTTTATAACACAATATGAAAAAGTTAGATAAGGATAATTATCAAATTCATGAAATTAGTTTTTAATTTAGAATTAATTATATATTAACAAATATAATTATTTTTCAAGGTTGATAAAGACTTTCTAACATAATATACAAAAATTAAATAAGGATAATTATCAAATAAATGAAATTCGTTTTTAATTTATAATTAATTATATATTAGCAAATTTAATTATTTTTCAAGGTTAAAGACTTTATAACCCAATCACACACTATTAAAAGCTCTTAATAAAGCATTTTAGAGTTGTCCACATAGGACAAAATATTCGTCCAATCAGAATTCTCTGTTTTGACACGTAATTCGATTCACTCAGCACAAATTCGAGGCGGGCCATTGTTTTGGGCTGACAAAAAAGAATTAAACGGCCCAAATTAGGCATATAACCCTCTATTTTTATTATTTCTTCCAAAATCTGCCTCCCTAATTGTTTTCTTCAAGACGGTAACCTCTGAACGACGATTCATTCACTCTTCAGATTTTTTTTTTTGATATAGACGATGCGGTGCGACTTACACAAACATACTTTCATTACTCTCACACTGCAAATACTTGCCTAGGAATGGTTTCTAAAGGCTTTAAATCCATAATCACAACGCCTCCCACTGTCTTTCCAATGACATACCCCCAAAATCCTGCTACAACCGGATGCTCATTGATCTTCATCGACGAGAAGGTAATGCCTACTCTTCTGAATCCTGTCTTTTTTTTTCTTCTGCTGAAACTCAGTGAAGATGTCTGTGCACGCTGACGAACGGACGGATGCTGATTCTAACTGTGATTTCATTATTAGTTTCAGGATCTGCTATTATCAGCCAACAATTTAACTGGGCAGTTCAGTGTGGATCTATTAATCGTTCTGGGTTGCAGATCACGTAAATTACGTTATTTTGTTGTGATTTCTGTGTACTCTAATCATTGATGTGCTCACCTCTCCACCAACTGAATAGTGTGTTACTTATCTATGTTTTGAAGGTTAATGTGTCAAGTAAGAGTCCAAAGTCTGATAAGCTATATGTATGAGAAGGAGAAGCAGATTCAAGCAGTTACCATTTAGGAATAGACTGATCCTCAACTAATATTTCCTAGAGGAACATGTATTACTTTGCTTCTTAAGTCTTTTATGCTTTGGTATTTATTTTGTAGCTTAGTGCAAGTATCTGTTCTTCTGTCATTAAAACCCTTCATCCTAAGCTACCTCTTTTTCTCTCTCCGGAGAGGTGAACCGGGCTGACAAAGGCTTTGCAGATCCAGAGCGAATTCAGAAGCTTGTGAAAACTATTCTCAGTTTGTCTCATAACATGTATACACGTGTCAAGTAAAAGAATACACAAAAGAGGTATGATCAACATGATGACATATATGTGAACTTAAACATCACATAAATTCCCAAGTGCTCTGCCGGCAAGGGAAAATGTTATATGTAGTTGCGTTACATGTCAGAAAACAAAGATTCTTATTTGGATATTTGGTTTCTCTTATATAAGTTGAAGTGATGATGATTCAGCTGTGCCAAAAAAAAACTAGAAGAGCAGGATGACCAAACTGAGGATACCTTTTTCTCTTATCATGTTCTGAGAATTATATAGATAAGCCTCAGAGAAATATCTTGATCTGAATCAGGGAATAGCTAAATGTTCAAGGATCGTTTGCTACAAGATCACGACTTCTTAATGTGTAACAGAGATAAAAAAAAGACCAAGGAGGTCGTTGAGCAATACTGTGTGGGAGATTACTAATGAGACGTAACCAATTTGGGTAAGGACTAAGATCTGCTCAATGTATCTCATGTGCGTTCAGAATCAAAATTATGGAATTAATTAAATAGTTTATTTCTAATTGTTGCAGCTCCAGAACACTAAGGAGGTGACAACAGAGGAGTACAATGAGTTTTACAGAACAACTTTCAACAACTATTTGGACCCACTGGCATCACCTCACAATCCCACTTCACAACAAAGGTACGTTGGAGGGAAGTCATCTGTCGGAATAGTACTTATCCATGAAAATATCCAAGCAGGTTATCTGGTAAAAAAGTGGTGTCACCATCTTGATCCAATAATGATATATTATTCTTAAACTCTTACTGATAATTCTTTCATTGCTATTTGCTATCCGCTTTAATAATGCTTTTGAACAGATTCCTCAGTATTGGAGCTTTATCAAAGGTACTGTTTTGGATCACACGATCTCCCATTACGTGTCTCATGAGATTCATCAAGAAAGTCGCATTGCAAGTGTTAATATCGATATTTATATGACCTCCTAAAGATATATGTTATGTTATAAGTGCCATATTGTTAAGCTTATATTTTTGTATTATGTCTCAAAGGTACGAATCATGAAGAAATGTCTGGTGCAGAGCTTCTGGTATGATTTTGAGAATTTTATCGAGTGAAAAATAGAGAAGTATGCTTCAGAACCTGTCATCCATTTTGCTTACATTTTCTCTCTTTTTTGTCCTGTTACAAGTCCATGTTATGTTCTTTGATGACTTTCCTGCCGAGTGAGAAAGACAATGTTAAACTGTTGACTTACAAGGATTATGAATAGTTTATATCCAGCGTTAATTTCACAGCTGAGTTATATATTGGCTTAACTAATTTTAGCAGGAAGAAATGGGAATATACGTAGATGTTGCATCTATAATAGTTAGCATGGAAAACAATTGAGATATGTGATCTATTACGTTGATCATTTATAGTAGCTTTTATAATTATGAGTATCCAACTTTTGTGCTATCTATTTTTTTCCTGGATTTTTTCTCCAGCGGCTTATATCAGGAGTCAGCTATTGCCATGTTGTAGTAAAAAAATGACTTACAATTTCATCTCTAACACTCGCAGACTTACTGAAGCTTCATTTATCGCCAAGTATATGAATATTAACATTAATTAACTATATACAATATATCATAGTTATCAAAATTAATTTTTAGTTTCATAAATTATAAACTTATTTTATACTATAAAAATTATATATGATGTAGAGTTAAAAAGGAATTATCAACTTACTTTCTAAATTTATTGGAAGAAATAAATAAAAAAGTAACATAATTGTTTAGTTTAAACTGGTAAGAATACATTCAATAAATAAGTATGAAAAATAAATAAAAGCTTAAGTAAAAAAACTTATACTAATAAAAATAATAATTTAACAATTTTAAAATATAACAACCGCGCGTAGCGCGGTAAAAACCCTAGTATAAAATAGTTTTAGATAATGATAAATCTAAAATCATTTAAATTCATTTTTTATTTATGTTTAACTATATATATTTTTAATTATTTCATTAAGGGTATAAAACAATATTAACCAGTCCAACTTATAACGTGAGAACTCTGTTGCGAAAAATCATTTCGCAAATAATAGTATAGATTTGATAGTAAATTTGTTTAGTTGTCAGTTTTTAAATAATTTTAGATAGTTTTGTTTATTTTCATGTTTTAGTAATTTAATATATAATTTATTACATAACAAAGACGAATGTACATATAAGAAAAGTTTTTCCATGGCTTTTGTGGGAAATTTGGAAAGCGAGGAATGTTTTCTTTTTGAAAACAAGGTTCTCGAACCCTCTTTTATCGCCAGAAAGGCCTATTAAGAAGATTCTACTTGGTGTGATACATTCACAAGCAGGGTAGATGGAGCTCAGGAGTTTGAATCAGAAGATATACGATGGATACATCCCCCTAATGGTTCCCTAAAATGTAATGTGGGTTCCTCATGGGTAAACTCAAATGATTTAAGTGGCGCTTCATGGATTGTTCGGGATGCAGCTGGTCATACAATCATCCATAGTCGTCGTGCCTACTCTTGTATGCGCACAAAGACAGAAGCAGATTTATGGGCGTTGTTTTGGGCGGTGGAATGTCTACATAACTTACATTTCTCCAATGTTATCTTTGAGACATCGTCGGAATGCCTACGTGATTTCCTCACAAAGCCGGAAGATCACCCTAGTTTCAGCCATCTCCGACACGATATATCCTTTCTTCTTGCAAGGATAGAGTCTTGGAGCCTCGATCACGCACTTCCCGAAAGAAATGAAGCTGCATCGGCAATTGCTGTTAGTGTCACCCGAGATAGTCGAACCCAATCATACATCGCCAGATGCACCGGCTTGGCTTCAACATTTACTCACTTTGGAAGCTCGACACAAATGAGAGTTGGTGAGATTTTCTTCCTTTCTCCATGTCTGCGCGGTGTCTATTGACATCCTTTGTAAATTTGTAGTTTCCTGCTTTGTATCACGTTTTCTTCTACATGTTCAAGTGTTATAAAAAAAAAAGACGAATTATATTAATAATATTATATTTTTAGAAAATAAATAAATTCTTATGTATAAGAATCATCTTGAAAATATATTTTTCTATTATAAATGTAAATTAATTTAATGATTGATTTCTAATTTCTCCGAGATTTAGGTAATTTCTTATTGGGGGAATTGCCAAAACCAACCCAAATATTCATTTTAACCCTAAAGGTGTACCCCATATTCAATCAATTGCAAACCCAACCTAAATGAGTGTTAAAATTACTATTTAACCCTTATGAACAAACACAAAACACGGAATATATTTTACGATTATGTCCTTCAGAGGTCTACACTTTAAGAAAGAAGTCTACAACTAGGTAGACTTACATTAACGTCTACTGTGTAGACTAATGTAAACTTATTATTTAGTCTACATCTTAATTTAATCAAATAATTTAATTTTAAAAATGTAGAAAAAATGTTTTTGGTAAATTTTTTAATAAATCATCAATTTAAAGGTTAGTATGAGGTATATAAATTAAATTTTCATATAATTGAAGAATTTAAAAGAATGTATATTGATTTGGGAACTATGTGGTAGACAATGTTAATGGTTTAACAACCAAAGGTTCTAACATGTTATGTCTTTTAGAGTTAGATTCTTAGGTTAGATTCTAGATTTAGAATTATTTTGTTTTAATGATTCAAAATTGCATATTTAATGTTGAGTAGTTTATATTTTTTATATATGATATTTGGTACAATGACTAAGATTTTTTTTATAATCAATCAAACGTTTAGGGTTTGAGATTTGGGGTTTAGGGTTTGAGATTTCTGGTTTAGGGTATAGTAGACTTACAGTTAAGTCTACTTATATGTAGACGTCTATTTTAGTCTACGTTAATTTGTGTTTACTAAAATAAATTATTTTAAAATTAAAATTAACTAAGTGGGAAGTGAAAATGAATTTTGAAGCCTATTTTCCTTATTGGCGCCAATATTTAGGGTATAGTAGACTTACAGTAAAGTCTACTTATATGTAGACGTCTATTTCAGTCTACATTAATTGGTGTTTATCAAAAAAAATATTTTAAAATTAAAATTAACTAAGCGGGAAGCGAAAATGAATTTTGGAGCCTATTTTTCCCTATTGGCGCCAATACTTACGGTAAAGTCTACTTCGATAATAGACGTCTCTTTTAGTCTACTATAATTGGTGATTACAAAAAAAAATTATTTTAAAATTAAATTTATTTATTTATGAATTAAAATGTGAATTAAAATTTTATCAACAAAAAATATATACTAAGCCTACTAAATATATAATGAAAAGAAAATTTTTAGATTATATATTATAAACTATTTAAAAAATAAAGAAAAATATACTAAATATATAATGAAAAGAAAAATTTTAGATTATATATTATAAACTATTTAAAAAATAAAGAAAAATATACACTAAAGTCTACTAAATACATAATAGTTTCCTTCTATGTGTATAATGCTTTCAATACTTAAGTTAAAAAATAAAAGTTGTAAAGACACTTTAAAAAAAAAAAAGAGAGNTAAAGAAAAATATACTAAATATATAATGAAAAGAAAAATTTTAGATTATATATTATAAACTATTTAAAAAATAAAGAAAAATATACACTAAAGTCTACTAAATACATAATAGTTTCCTTCTATGTGTATAATGCTTTCAATACTTAAGTTAAAAAATAAAAGTTGTAAAGACACTTTAAAAAAAAAAAAGAGAGACTTACTTACTCTCTCTCGAAACCGAAACCCTATCAACACAAGACTCTTATCTCTTTATCTTCTTTTCCCCAGCCACAGAACAACAATATTTACAAGAGGAGGGTGACCGGAAGTTGCGAATGGATCAAAGCTCAGTTGGGTCGGATCCAAGAAGAAACCCGATGACTCTCTACCATCCACGAGGTCAGATTTTCTATCTCTATCTCTATCTCTATCTCTATCTCTATCTCTCTCTCTCAGTTTGGAATCTGACTGTGTTTTGGAAAAGGTGAACCCACGGCGGAGCTTCTCTTCCTCTGAAGCGGAGACGGAGAAGACAGAGGAAGAGGACGATGGTGGTGAAGATATATGATGGTGTGCGACATTCAATACCACCACCAAAAGCTCGGTACTTTCTCCTCTTAGTTCTTTCTTAGGGTTTCGATTTGGGAGATTTTCAGGTTTGGGTTTCGAGTTGTCTTGACAATCTGTTTATGTGTCTAGGGTTTTGATTTTGGTTGACTATTTGTTTCTGTATCAAGAGTCTCGATTATGACTATCTTGACAATTTATTCCTGTCTTGAGTCTCTGTCTTTTATATCTGATTAATCTTCTCTCTGGTCTTCACTATCTGGTTTATCTTGTATCTGATTTATCTTGTCCCTGGTCTTGATTATCTTATTTATCTTGTCTCTAATTTATCTCGTCTCTAATTTATCTCGTCTCTGTGTTATTGTCTTGTAATATTAGCTAGTTTATATTGTTAATAGTCTCTGTGTTACGATTTTCTCTCTGTTTGTGATGGTTCTTTGTGTTGTGAGTCAGGTGGAGGAGGAGAGAGCTCGGAGACAGTGTCTGAGAGTGATGATATGTTGTTGTATAGAGGTTTTAAAAAGGTGAAGGAGAGAGGCTGCACAGCTAAGGATCATAGAGATTTATCGATTTGCTATTGACTGATCAGTCAATCTGAGGATTCGTTGGATACAAATCATTGTGTGTTATGGATCATAGAAATCTATCGGTTTGCGAACTAATCAGAGATTTGTTTGATCTGATGGATTCACTCAATTATGGATTCAAGATCTAATGCTTTCTGATACGTTTAATTTCACAGAAGGACGAGCGATTGGTGCGGCGGCTGCGGTGACTGCATCAGGAAAGATGCCTCTATGCATCTAACTTTGCAAGATCATCAGCTTCTGGTGCCGCCTCTAAGAGTTGGATCACTGGACTCTTGGCTCTTCCTGCTGTAGGTTTAACCAAACACATTGTTTACTTTTGGTTAGAATAGGATTATGATAAAAGTTATTGACATATGTTTTCTTCTATTGTTTCTGTTATAGCTTTCATGGTTTAAGATCAGGAGGTTTTTTCTGCTGAGGTAAATGATAATCATCATTTTTCTCTCCTAAATATATCTGTGATTTCATCATCCTGATGTTCTTGATCGTTTCACAGATGGAACACACTTTCATTGCGATCAAGCCTGATGGAGTGCAGCGAGGACTGGTAATCTTTTTTATTTTATTTTAATATATAGTTGGTCTTGAATTGGTCTTATCATGTGTATGTATGTAAATCTTATTATCTCATGAACCAACAGATATCAGAGATCATTTCTTGATTTGAATGAAAGGAATTCAAGCTTGTTGGTATCAAGGTCGTTGTTCCTTCCAAGGATTTTGTACAGAAGCATTACCATGATCTCAAGGAAAGACCTTTCTTCAATGGCTCGTGTGACTTCCTTAGCTCTGGTCCTGTTATCGCCATGGTAAACACAAAACTCTCTCCTATCTGTAATTTGATAGTAAGCTCAGAGAATAATTTGATAAAAACAGAACATTGGCTCCTTGTAGGTATGGGAAGGAGAAGGTGTGATCAGATACGGACGTAAACTGATTGGAGCCACCGATCCTCAGAAATCTGAGCCTGGGACTATCCGAGGAGATCTTGCTGTTGTTGTTGGGAGGTATGTTCTATTTTCCTTTTTGGTATTCGTATTATTATTAGGACATTATAAAGATTTGGTTTGGTAATTGAAATGTGAATTTGCGCATCAGGAACATAATCCATGGAAGTGATGGACCAGTGACTGCAAAAGATGAGATCAATCTGTGGTTTAAGCCTCAAAAACTCGTCTCTTACACCAACAACGCTGAGAAGTGGATCTATGGCGACAACTAAACACCCTCTTTCTCTCTTCTTTTGACATCCAATAAAATTGTTCTTGTTCCTTTACCCCAAACAATAAAACAAAAAACAGGTATTACGCATACAAACACATTCCCGGTTTTGTGTTTTCTCGGTGAACTCAGTTATCAGAGTAAAAGTAATAATAAGTATGAGAATGAGATTATTGGATACTGAAATTTTTGTTTGTTTTCCATGGAAGATGAATTCTTATCTTCTATATATTAGCTTGCGTTCTTTTTTGAGAAAAAGTTGTTAAATGTAAGAGCACTTCAATGGGGGATTCTATCCCATTGAAGTTATAAAGATGCATATGTGTATGTGTTATATATGTGTATTAGATGTGGGATCTACAAAATAGTGTAGAATCTCTTCCAAAAAGTTCTTATTAGAGAGATTTTAAAGAATTCTTTGATAGAGTTCTACACTATTTTGTGGATCGCACACCTACATACACATATATAACACATATGCTTTTTAGAATCCCAATGGATCGAACTCCTCATTAGAGGTTCTCTAATATACTATTATGGCTTAGTGTTTCTTACAACTTATTGATTAGCTTTTTACATACAAATACAAAGATGCATTCAAACACAGGTTGACAAAGTGACAGATATTAAAGAAAGTATGCCTTTACAAAATTAGTAACAATCCTTTGATCAAAAAAAAAAAACTTAGTAATAATCTTGAAGGTAGTTGAACCATTTTCCGTAAAACAATACGGTTTACATAATTAGCAAACCAAAATTTCATGTTTGATAAAATTATATCGTAGACTTACCAGTATATCTATAATTATTAGCTAACAACATAGACAAATAAAAAAATTGATAACTTCCTAACTATAACAGACTATCTTCTGAAAAACATTCAAGACCCTTATGATTAATTAACACACACTTTCAGAGTTTTTTTTTTGAAAAAAACTTAATGAATAATACACAAATCCACTTTTGATAGATTTTTCTAGGTAGACCATATATTCAGTCTACAAAAGTGTAGACGTTTTATTCAGTTTACATTTGGTAGACTGCAAATTAGGTCTATGTTTAGATTGGTTTTTGCAATTGCCAAATTCACGGGTTACTTTCTGTATTTGAAAAAAGATGTTTATTTTATACAAGTAGACTTCTTTTTTAGTCTAAATTTTTAAAAAGGTTAGTTTTGCAATTGACGAGAATTCGTTAAGTGTTAGAAGTAGACTTACTATGCAGTCTACATTTTTAAATTTGTTTGAAAGAGTTTAGTTTTGCAATTGACCAAAGTTGACTTTTTACTAGTAGACAAAACTAAATGTCTACATAACTGTAGACTGCAGTAAAAAACTACACTATAACCCGACATGTTAGTTTTGCAATTGACCAACATAAAATAGTAGACTTCATATGTAGTCTACTTATTTTTCCTAAGATTTGTAGACTGCAAATGAAGTCTACACGTAAAGTAAGTTTTGGTCAGTTTCTAAACATTTTAGTCAAATACAAAAGAAACCTATTCAACGAAGTCAAAGTTTTGGTCAAATGCAAAACTGACCTTCAGTAGACTTCTATAGCAGTCGACAAAGTGTAGACGTCCAAGAAAGTCTAATATGGTAAGTCAAAAGTTTGGTCAAATGCAAAACTAACCTCTTTTATGTAGATTTCTTAGTAAGTCTACCAATATTTTGTTTTGTTTTTGGTTTCAAAGGAAAAGACGTTGACGTACTTGTAGGTTTACAGTACAAAAAGTATTATTTTGGTCAATTGCAAAAGTAACCTGTGCGTTGACAAGTAGACTGCATCGTAAGTCTACACGTAAGTGTAGACAATACAGTCTTCTTTCGCGATACAGATCAGAGATATGACGAAAAGCATGTAAATAGTTACCATTTTCCAGTTTAAAGCTTGTTTCCAAGCTTTTCCACCGTCCAGAATCCAAATATGAGCAAAAGAAGCACCTTTTACGATTCACTTGTGAATAAAATCGAAACTATGAAGTTTGTGTTTATGAAAATGAGAGTTATGAGAATTTTTTAGATGAAAATATAGAGGAAATGAGAGGAAATGAGAGGAAATGAAGTATTATTGGTTTAGAAAGTGAAATAAGTGGTTGACAATTCATATCTTGAGCTTAAAGACCTCATTAATGGTGGTATTTGGTGGTTTCAAATATTGATGACAATGGCATTGTGGTAAATAAGGAGAAATGTTTAGGGTGTAATAGGTTTTTGCTCATTTTCGAAATTTATAAAATATTTAATAATAATGGCAATTTTGTAAATAGTTTAGAAACATGAGAAGGATTAGGTTTTTCAAGAGTGAATAGTATGTACAAAAAAAGTGTTGGTTTTGGGTTTGACTACAATTCTTAGGTTAGTTTTGCAAAACCCCCTTTCTTATTTATCTTGTTTTTAATAATTTTATGTATAATTTATTATATATTAAATAAATTATATTAATAATATTATATTTTTAGAAAATAAAATAATTTTATGTATTATATTGTAATCTAAAAATATATTTTTTAATTATATAAACTAAAAATTAAGATATAAAAATTATAATTAAATATAAATTATGCAAGTTAATTTGTCAACTTCGCCATGATTTGAGTTAATATTGTTTATTTGCCATGCTTTAATAATTTTATCTATCATTTATTATATAATAAAAGAGAATTTATATTACAATATTATAGTTTTAGAAAATAAGATCATTCGTATGTATTATATTGTTATCTTGAAAATAAAATTTTCAAATTATAAATTAAGATATAAAAATTNGTTAATTTGTCAACTTCGCCATGATTTGAGTTAATATTGTTTATTTGCCATGCTTTAATAATTTTATCTATCATTTATTATATAATAAAAGAGAATTTATATTACAATATTATAGTTTTAGAAAATAAGATCATTCGTATGTATTATATTGTTATCTTGAAAATAAAATTTTCAAATTATAAATTAAGATATAAAAATTTATAATAAAATATAAATCAAGCAATGTTAATTTGTCAACTTCTCCATGACTTTTATGAAATTTTGCTTATTTGTCATGTTTTAATAATTTCATATATAACTCATTATATAAAAGCAAATTTATATTAATAATATTATATTTTTAGAAAAGAAGATAATTATTATGTGTTAGATTGTATCTTGAAAATATATTTTCTATTATAAAATTTAAGTAAATTTATTTATTTGTTACTTTTCCATGATTTAAGGACTTTTACATATCTATCATGTTTTTAATAATTTCATATATAATTTATTATATAATAAAAACTAAATCCTATTAATAATATTATATTTTTAGAAAAAATATACTTCTTATGCATTATATTTTTATGGGCTTTTTGCAAAATTGACTCACAACTCAAAGTCAAACACAAAACTGACTTTTTCTTTTGACTCATCTTTCTTTTGCCTTATTCACCCCACATCTTTATTTTATCTACAAAAAATCCATTAATTTTTTTTTGAAAATCCCTTTTTTACTCTCTCAACCTCATCATCTTCAAGTATTTACAACATTTCCATTGCCATGAATACGCCCAACAACCTTGTACAACCCAACAAACTTGTACAACCAGTTTGAAGCTTTTAATACACTTAAAATCGATACCCTAACTCTCTTTCTCAATTGTTATGAACTAAAAACAACATCTCCTTCACTTTGTCTCCATATTCATACAAAAAACCCAATATTTTGATTCCAAAATTTTTATGGTTGATAGAGCCATTTAAGCATACAATTCTTGGTGGGTTACTTTTGTTTGATGTTCTGGGTGGTTGGAGAAGACTCTGTGTGCTAAGGAATTCATCTCACTTAGTTTAAGGTATAAAATTGAAAATTTTACCAGATCTGTTCGCGTAGAAGACTTACCCGTAAGTCTTCTGGATGTAGAAGACTTATAGATAAGTCTTCTCGTCAAACGGACGACTTACTTCTAAGTCGTCCAGCTTTGTATGTTAAAAAAAAGCTAGACGACTTATAAGTAAGTCGTCTAGGAAAAATGGGCTAGTTTTGCATTTGATCGAATTGTGTCAGATATTTGACTTTTCCTGGACGACTTACCAGTAAGTCGTCTCTGGGAAATTTTAAATTTTAAAATTTTATTAATTTAAGACGACTTACGGATAAGTCGTCCTAGGTTAGATTTGTAATTGAAAAATAAAACTTTAATTATAACCTTTCCGAGAAGACTTAATTTAAAGTCGTCCAGCGAGACGACTTATTCTAAAGTCGTCCGTGATAAGCAAACTCATCCAGTTTTTTGGGTCAAACCTTGCTTATCTCAGACGACTTTCGAATAAGTCGTCATACTGGACGACTTTAAATTACGTCTTTTAGAAAAAGTTATAATTAAAGTTTTATTTTTTCAATTACAAAACTAACCTAAGACGACTTATCCGTAAGTCGTCTTGAATTAATAAAATATTGAAATTTTAACTTTCACAGAGACGAGTTACTGGTAAGTCGTCCAGTAAAATTCAAATATCTGACACAATTCGGTCAAATTCAAAACTAGCCCATTTTCCGTAGACGACCTACTTATAAGTCGTCTAGCTTTTTTTTTTAACATACAAAGCTAGACGACTTAGAAGTAAGGCGTCTCATTTAAATTCAATTGCAAAAACGACATGTCTGGAAGACTTACTGTTAAGTCATCCGGACGACTTACTTGTATGTCGTCTGCCTCAATGTTTAGTAAACTTTCATTTTCTCTATGTTTACTAATGTGTTTTTATTTTGAACTTTGCATATGATTCGTCAGTTACATGCAGTGTATGGAGAATGGTTGTTCAAAGATGGTTGTTGGGATTTTGTGGTTAATAATTTCAAAGGAGCGAGAATGTGTTTTTTGAGTGAAGGTTCGACACATGCTAAACTTGTTTCAATGGCTCAGGAAGATTATAACCTAGACATGAGCACAATCACTGTGGAGATAAGCTACTCATTACCAGCAGAAATGAGGATGGCTCCAGCCACCTCTCCCATTCATGTTACAAGTGATAGACAAGTTCAAAATTTTCTCGAGATAACCAAAACGCATAGAGTATGTCTTTGTGTATCAAGCCGTAGCAAGGTGAAAACAATTTTAGAGGAAATGGAAGAAGCTGATGAATGGTTT